AAATATTGAGCAGATCCTTAGCCCTAACTAGCATGCAATTCACAGATTCACAGATCAAATCATATCAGATAACATGTATGGGTATTTTGGGAAAACTTACTTGAGCACGGTCGACCACACCTATTTTTGTATTAGAAAACTTGTGTTTCTTTTTAAAACATTTCTTTTATAAAAATCTTTACCAAATCCTCAGTTTGAGTTCAGACACACCCGAGAGTATGTCTGAATCCCTCAAACCAAGGCTCTGATGCCAACTTGTAATGTCCCAAAATTAAAACCCAAAAATTTCATTTTGAATTTAATAAAACCAATATCCCAAATACGTCATCATAAAAATCCAGATAAAACAAATATATCAATCAACATATTAGATAGCAGTAAATCACAAAATGCGGAATGAGGTGGTGTGTGCTCTACAATCATCCTCAGCTCTTCCCTTTGGAACCATGAGTACCTAAAACATAAATTGAAAACCATAAGAACAAAGCTTAATTAGTTCCGTAACATACCACATACCATACATACATAACACATAACGAGCCTCGCCCAATGAGTGTAACGGGCCCCGCCCAATGAGTATAACGGGCCCCGCCAAACTCACATATCGAGCCCCGCCCACATACAATTCATATAAGGATAACCTGTAATAGCATACAGAATAACCATCGGGCCCCACCCAGTAAGCATACAACCACATACACATACAAGAGTCGCATAGATATCTAGTATTCTTACATCACAAATCATGAGCCGACATTGGTGCCTTTGACCCACTAAACATGGTGAGGAAACTCACCTCGAACTGCTAAATCACACTGATAAATCTTTGGGTGCTGGTCTGACAAATCCCCGAGCTATCAATACCAATAACATCTAATTAATAATTGGACCCCAACTCATATAAAGAGTCTATACTAGGGTAAAAAAAACCTTTTTACCCTTTACCCAACTTGGCCCAAGGCCTAGGCTCAATCCAATTTGTCCAAATGCCTAATATTCTAAAATCATCACCCAAGGCCCACTATGGACCAGTTTTCCAAATTAATGCCCAAACCCTTCATGGGCCTTAAACCAAGGTCCAACTATATTCTTAGCCCCAAAACAATATTCTGATGGCCCAAAATAAAGCGCTAGACTCCTAAAGTCCAAAATGAAGCCCAAATCTGAAAAGCCCAACTTGCATAGCCCACTGCTGAGTGCGCGGGGCGTACTCAGCTTGTATGATAAGCGTACTCGCTTTAGGTGTTGTATGTGGCGTGTACGAGATTGTATGTCCAACGTACACCCCTGTTTGGCCAACTTTCTATTTCCAGCTCTTAATCGATTAAGACCTCAACCCAAACCCATATCTGACTTGCTTAAGATGGTTTATCACGTAAAGTTTCCAACTTTACGTGCATACATGGCTTAATGAGACTCTAGAGCTTAAAAGAGCTTAATAAATGGCTTAATACATGCATGAGACCATAAACACCATAAAGTTTGAACCTTTAAGCTTGAGGAACTCTCCAAACATCCAGATCTACAATATTTAGCTTCTAAAACAGCCTTAACTTGTCAAGACCAACCAAAAAGGGACAAAGAAGCATAAAACCATAACATGAAGAGATCTAAGCAAAGAGTACACTAGGTATGAACTATATACCTCAAAAGTCACCAAAAGATGGAGCTAAATCTAGATTTCTAGGCTTCATTCCAAAGAATGAGTCTTCCAACTTCTTATTGTAACACTTTAAGGAGTACAAACCACAAAAAATCAAAACCAAGGATCAAAACACTCAAAGATGCTATTATGGATCGAGATTAAGGTTTGAGGACAATGAAGGCTGATAAAGAGGCCATCCCTAGGGACTTAAGGAGATTATATAGGGTGCAACACCCTAAAATTAGGGTTTCATTAAACCCCTCGTATGCCCAGCATAACCCTCCTACTCCCAGCATACGAGGCTTTGGACTCGTGATCAGCCCTTGCTAGTACGCTAAGCGTACATTATGGTACGCCCCACGTAGTAGCCACAAGGACCAAAAATGAAATAATTAAATATGAAGGGCTAAAAAGGAACATATCCAATTCAAGTGTTACATCTTTTGTCTAAAATCCATATTTAGTCCTCAAATGATGTCCTAAGTCGTAAAGTTTCCAACTTTATGACTTAACATGTCTATAAGGTGCCCAACAACAAAAATCCTATTTTATTAACCCCTTAAGAGATTCTAGCATATGCATGGAAAGAAACTAAGAGCCAAGATCACATTTTTATTCTTCTAAACACTCCAAAACGTCTAAAAGGACAGCTCATACGAATTAGAGTAACCAATACTCATAATACCAAGCTTAAGGGACCAAAAGAACACAAATCCATGGCTAAACAAGATCTAAGTAAAACTTCATCAAGATCAAAGTTTTTACCTCCAAATGGTATCAAATGGTGATGTGATTCTGGATCCAAAGCGCTCTACTCTTCTAAGATGGTTTCCTCTTCCTTCTTCCTCCTTCAAGAATACCAAGATGCACACTCAAGGCTAAGATTGCTTCTCTCAAGGGATTAGGGTTAGCTAGGGCTGAGTTGGAGGATGGAGGCTGATGAATGAAAGGGATTTGAGGCCATAATGAGGTTTAAATTGGGTGTAAACCCTAAATATTAGGGTTTTGGTTCAAGCCACATATGCCTAACGTACGCTTCGGTACGCCCAACGTACACAAGCCACTCCCAAAAATTACAAAAATGCCATTTGGGACCAAAACGCAAACTATTCTCATATCAAGGGTAAAAATGGAATAACTGGAAATCAAGATGTTACAGATAGTGGTTGCTCACGTCCCATGACTGGAAGGAAGGAGTGTCTACAAGATTTCAGAAAGCATGAAAATGTTGGAGTTGTAAAGTTTGAGAATAATAATCAGTGCACAATTAAAGGATACAACAAAATAACAAAATGAAACTTTACAATTAAACGTGTTGCTTATGTTGAAAGATTAGAACACAATTTAATCAGTTTCTCTCAATTGGTTGTAGGAATGGGCAATCAAGTAATCTTTGATGAAGAAGAGAGTTTTATATCTAACAGCATTTCAAAAGAAGTATTTTTAATGTCAAAGAGAAAAGGAGATATGTCTACCTTAGACGTGAAACTTATTGGTGGGTTACCTTCAATTTGTTTACTATCGAATGCTTCATCAGATCTTAGTTGGCTTTGGCGTTGACGACTTTCACACTTAAATTTAAAAAATATTAAGAAGCTTGTTTGATATTGTAACATACTATGTCGGGATAACCTTGACTTGGCACTACTAGAAAAACAGCCTTTTACGACGCGCAAATTACGACACTCATTGATTTATGTTACAAAAAAAAAATGACATTAAAAAAGTGTCAACTCTTCAAAAAATTTAAGGATTTAGGTCACGCATTATTGCGTGCCCTTAAATTAATGTCTCATGTAAAAAAGTTAAAAACACGGAGGGCACTTTATCTAAAATGTGCGTCCTCTGTGAATGTCGCTTTATATTTTTTTTAAGAAACGCGCGTCTCCTTCGACTTAGAGGGAAAATGAAATCCCCAAATTTTTTAAACCCCCTCCTTCTTCTCCCTCGTCTCCACCCCTCACCCACATCCACTGCCTATAATCCTCGTTGCCTCAGACTGTGCCGATTAACAACTACGATTCATCAACCGTCAAGCGAAGCTACCAATTGAACAAGCCCTAATCGACACCTCCACCTTCTCGCCTCTCCTTCTCCACCAGGTTTTATCGAATCTCTATCCTCCTCCTTCTCGTCTCTCCTTCTCCATTAACAACACCAACACCTTTGTCACAATCTATTCCAACACCCACCACAGTCGAAATTGATGAAACCATACCTCCTCCTGCTTCCAACGCCTCAAAATGGATTGTAGATGTTGACGCTTCTTCTTTTTATTATCCCATTTCTTTCAAAATCCAATCGACCCAAAACCGTAGTTCTTGTTGTTCAAATCAATTTCAATGGTGAACCTCCGACTTCATTGGTTTGAAGAAAAATATATTAGAAACAGTGTATCAGAATCCAGTAGTGGCGGTAATTGGTGAGAACGGTTCATGGAAGAGAACTCAACAATCTTAGATATTACACAAAAATGGCTACACGAAGACCGGAACCATCCCAGTCACCCAGCCCCACCGTGTCGCCATCGTCTATGTTTCTAGGTAATCATATTCTCACACCTTAATTTTTACCTCTCATGTATCTGTGCGACTTTGATTACTTCCTTGGATCATTTGAGGTTCCTTTTTTATCCTTCTTTTCTCCCAATGTTTCAATATACAATTGATTAAATTACACATGGGATCTCATTGTTTATTCATTTAATTGGAAGGTATGATAAGGGCTGGAATCTCTCAAGTAAATTATGCCCCTGTAAAGGTATTGGTGTAAAATTTCATTGATTTGGTTTCAGATCATTTATAATTAGTTCTGAAAGCTACTCTACACAAACTCAAAATGCAGGGCCTTTGTCTATATTAACAAAGAAGTTAAGTAGTTGGAATGAGTATTATGAATGGAGAGGAATCCCTTTAGATTCTCATGTTGCTCCGCGTCTTCACTGGGTAATGTAGTTTCATATACTTCATACAATGTTTGTATTAGATTTAGTGTATATGGTTACATACTTATATTTATGTGTTTTTCTCATTTAAGCCATAAAATTTTACTATTTTGGTTTTATTTCCAGCCATTGACCATATATCAAGCAATTCAGATTGCTTCTGTGAACAGTTGATCCCTGAAACTACTGATGAACTATGCATACACTACCTAGGTATTTTCATCACTTTCAAAACCTGATTTAGCTTATTACATATAGATTTTTTTGGACCTGCTATTCCACATGCATATAGATTTTGTTGGTAGGTTCTAGTAACAAAATACAACTACATTTACATATCCAGAAGCTCATCATCAGCAATTAAGTGTCTCTTTTTGTTCTATATATTTATGTTACTTTCTAGTTCTTATCATGCTGAGCTTAGTGAGGTCAAAAAGCATAGTGGTCGTTCATCCTGCAGATATTCATACATATACCTCATCCTCATCATTGAAAGTAGTGTTTGTTTTTTTTTTGAATTGATTGATGCAGTGGGTTCATCAGAGGGCCTGGAGAGGACCCGAAGCCTCTAACATTTTCATTCCATGACAAGTACAAACAGGGGCCCCTGTTATCAATTGTAAGTATTGTATTTCTAGCACCCATTTTATCAATTTAGCCACTCATACTCAACTATTATTAAAATAATCATAAATAAATAATTAATAAATAATGTTTGTAATTATGCAATGCAGGTATGGAGCACTGGAAGTTGTGTCACCTACCCCCTCCTGATTCGTTCCCATCTCCTTGCTTAGCTTAAGCCCAACCCACCTATTTTCAATTTTCTTCACCTGTACACTTTCTCTCCAGTTTTGCAGCAATCACGGGCATTTGATTTGTAGAATATTATCAGAAGGAATGGAATCTGTGTCAAAGGATTTAATTATATATATGATGGGGTATTTTGGTATTTTAACAAATCTATTAATATTCTATTAATTTAGCCCCTAATCTGGTAAGTATCATATCTTTATTCTACTGTTTGTCCATTTCTACATATCGAAACTATGATTCTTGAATATTTACATCTTTTTTATATATGGAATCTGAAATGTTCAGGGACTAACTCACACTCCTTTTAAAGCTTGCAAACTGAAGAGGTGTAAAAGGAAATCCAGAGTTTTCTACAGGCTGCAAAATCGTATGTACTATGTAGTAGTCCTTTCAATGTGTTACCTTTTTTTTAAATCTTTTTTTTCATTATTTTAACTTTTTCTCTAATCTATGCCGGTTGTGGATGCACCAGAGATTCTGACAGTGATTGGAAAGATTCCATTTTTATCAGAATTTATGAACTCTCTGTACGAGTGTCAATACAAATCATTCTTCTTTGCTTTTGGTGATTTTATGTTATAACTTTTACATGTTGATGAGGGTTATTTTGGTTGTGGTTTAATTTAATAATTTATAATGATATTGTTTATTTGCAGCTGGGATCACTGAGCATATTAACTTGGATCGGTATTTGCATCCACACTTCCATTTTTACATGAGAGAGATCAGGACAGTTGTGTATTCTCAGTTCCTGGAATCTTACAAGAGTGTCACCATTGAAGCCATGGCAAAGGCGTTTAGTGTCATAGTTGATTTTATTGATCTGTAAGCAAATTATCTAACATTATTTTCGTTGAATTATTTGTTCCTATCTGTATCATGAGGGTATTCTGGTCTTTTTAACAACGTGTGTGTGATTGTTTGAATTTGGTGGGGGAAACAGGGAGCTGTCACTATTCATTGCAGCAGGGAAGCTTCATTGCAAGATCGACAAAGTCGCAAGTGTTTTGGAAACCAACCGCCCAGATGCAAAGAATGCTCTTTATCCTATCTTATACTTTTAGTTCTTCTCTAGCAGTTCCAAGAACAGAGAAAATATTGCAAATTCAGGTCTGATGATTCAGCCTTATTTAATTTCTTATGCTTTTAATTTTGGAGTTAAACCTGCTTTATTAGATTTTGCCTCAATTGTTGCTAATAAAATCCTTCTCTTGGATTCATATTTCACTATTGTTGTGTTTCATAGATCCACCATTGCTTAAAGGTAAAGTTGGCTACCAAAATATGCCAATCATCAATTAGTAGCTCACTGTTTTACTCTCATCATTCATTGTGTTTTTCTTCTCAACTTATAAGTGAGCCACACATGTCTCATGGAATGTTCAATTTTGACTAAAAAGGTAAATTGTTAGTCTTGTATGCTTTACAATTTTTCCATTTTTATTAAATTATGTCATTTTATTGTTAATTGTTTTTGAAATTTGTATGTAGGGATTCACAAGAGGTGGCATTGTGCAACAGTAAGTTGAAACATATAAGTTTCTATTACAGAGTTCATAACTATGAAATTCGAACTTAGAACCTTTAATCAGATGCAACTACTAACAACATTTAAACAATTATAGTGGAGAAACAAATTAAAGCTATATATGACTGAATTTGCTTATTTGGTTTTAAACTTTTGCGCATGTCCAGTGGAAGAACATAAGTCGTTTATGCAGTAAAAAAGAAATACTGACAGTGGATGGAGAGTATCCAGGACCAACAATGTAGTAATGTAGTATTAGGTTATATAGTTAGGGAAAACCTCTTAATAACAATGTACAATCGGATCCCCTTAATACCAATGTATTACAATTTTTTGACATGATGTTATGGATGAAATTGATTGTTTTGGTATATATTTGTTTCCATATTCTTGTATTATGCGTAAATGAGTGTTGTAAAGACGCGTCGTAAATGTATATCGTAAATGGTTCCTGAAGTTTATGACACACCAATGCGTGTTATCTTCATTTATGACAGGGGCTTTAATGATACGCAATGCGTGTCCTAAACGTGCGTCGTAAGGTTACGACACGTAAATGCGTGTCATCTTCATTTATGACAGGGGCTTCCTTGCTACGCATTGCGCGTCGTAAATGCGCGTCGTCTAAAGCGTAGCGTCTCTCGTTATGACATGGCCTTCCTTGACACGCATTTGCGCGTCGTCTGAGCGTTTTACGACACGCATTGTGCGTCATAAAAGGTTGTTTTTCTAGTAGTGTGGAGAATCGAGTGGTAATTGACATGGCGAGGGTAATGGATCTCAAAGGAATAATTTTGCACCTCAAGGAATAAGGTTTTTATGCTTGGTGCTAATAATTTAGGTTTTAAGAGGCATTGGGCTTAAATTGAATTTTAGAGTGTTGGCCCAAGTGCACCACAACGTGGAAGTATGATGGCCACAACGTGGTGCATGGTTAATGAAGAATGTGCATCTGATGTTCGCCACGATATAGCGAAAGAGTTGCCTAGACGTGGTGAGCGATGCAACCCAAACCCATGATTTTTAGGGTTTTATCCAAATTTAAAGGTTATAACTCAAGGATTAGGGCATCCTCTTCATCCTCCAACCCTCCAACACAAATAGCCTCCACACATATTTCAAATTTTGTTTCTAAATTTAAAGCTTATTCTTTGGATTTTGGTGAAGCTTGAGGAATAAAGAAGTTCAAATTGGTGCAAGGGAGCAGGGAGCTGGTTTGGATACATCATTCTATTATGATTTCGGAGCTAATTGTGGTATGAAGTTCATAAATTGGCCCTTATTCTTCCTTTTTCAAGTTTGAGTTCATTTTAAAGGATTTTGTCCCTTTCTTGGATGCTATAGGAGTTTAAGGAACTCTAGAGCTTGTTAATGGCTCTCTAATGGGCATTAAGTTTCTGAGAAATATTAAAGGAGTTATGTTTGGATCTACCTTGTAGCTATGCTCAAAGTTTGGTCTCATTAAGGACTTAATGGACTTAGGGTTGTAGATCTAGCCTTATGATGAAGTCCTAATGGATAAATTTGGAAACTTTACTCATTAAGTCATTGAAAATGACAAGATCTGAAGTTATGGGTTTAGATTTGTAATGACTAAGCACTTAAATATGACATTCTGCCAAGAACCACAATGTGGCCAAGTCTTTTCTACGATGTGGTGGCATCCTGTATGTCGACTACTTTATCTTGACATGCCGACGACATAGCCAAGAGGCCCCCACGTCGTGGTTAGCATTGACCTGGTTGATCATTGAATTTTTTGACCGCAGACTGTTGACTTTTGACCAGTTTTACTTTAGGTCAAACTTTAAAGAGTTAGGTTGTTGATAAAGGATTGATCTTTGTTTGGTGCTAGTTGGTTCGTGGGAGTGATCGGTGCAAGGAGTATGGGTGTTGTTGTGCTTCCTTGGGTCTTTGATTCAGGTGAGTTTCCTCACTATGCTTTTTTTTAAAGTGTATATCCTTGTATGTAAGGATATAGGAGTGGTGATATGTTGGTTAGAGTACCAGTACGCCGATAATCGTCTAGTGGAGTTCCCTAGGGGTTATATGCAGTCATGTATGATAGCTTGTGTAACAACGTAAATTTCCAAGACAATTTTTCATTTTTAAAACATACTTTTATTCATAGGGTAATATCAAAACATAATTTATCCAATTTTATCATTACAAAACATATCCCAGAATCTCAAATAATTAACTCCATAAGTGTGTATGGATCATGCCGGCGCCTTCCCGCGATCCTCGCTAGTACCTGAAACACATAACACAACAAATGTAAGCATAAATGCTTAGTGAGTTCTCCAAAATACCACAAACAACACATACGCCTTTCCAGGCCATAACTCTGTGAGACCTTCCGGTCCAAGTGTCTCAGGGGACTTCCGTCCCAAATCCCGGTAGACCTTCCGGCCCTACCCGTATCGACCTTCCGGTCCGTAACCTCTTGACCTTCCGGTCCATATCATCTTGACCTTCTGGTCCTTATCATACATAACATACATAACACATACATATCACATAACAACATACAACACATACATCTCATAGCATATAAGACCTTCCAATCACACATAGGTACCCTTCCAGGTACAGTATAGTGAGAAGACTCACCTCAATGAAGTCGGATAAACTCTCGTGCTCAACGTCCCGACCTAGCCTCCTCCTATCATTCAAATAACATCCCCGATCAATATTCTCTCATAGTCTCATCTCTAAAGATTGGGTAGAAGGCCATTCTACCCTTCTCTGAACTCTCTTGAATCAGTCTTGACCAGAACCCTAAGGTCAACGAAAGTCAACGGTCAAACTTTGACCCGACTCGTCGAGTGCACATGGGCGACTCGGCAAGTCCATGCGGGTCCTTTAAATCCTTCTAGCCTCTCTTGGCACGTCGAGTCATCCCTCAACTCGACGGGTTCCTCCTGTCACGAATCGCGGGGCAACCCCGACTCGACTCGTCGAGTCCACTTATGAACTCGACGAGTTGCTTCCATGCTCACACTCAAATGACCTTCTGAGGTCAGATCTGCTTCTCTAATCTATAGATCTGACCTTCCCAAGCATGATAAACACATAAAGGTCGAATCTTGGTACACATGCAACACACCCAAAGCTTCTTTTGGTGAAATAACCTCTAAAATGGCTTCCTAGGCTCATAACTCAAAAGGTATGGCATAAAGCAGAGTGGTAAGGACTCTCTGGACCTCTTAAGGTCCAGATCTATGAACCAACTCATCTTGGGACCTCACATACTCAAGATTTAACTAAAAGAGGCATAAAGAAAACCCTAGATTTCACTAGAATCATAATAAACACGAGAATGGCACAGATTGTTACCTCCAACAGCTTCCTCTGATCAAATAGAAGTGGATCCAAGCTCCTCAACCCACCTAGCTTGTTCTACCTCCTTCCTTCTTGCTAAAACACACAAGAAATGGTGAATTAGCCTTCCTCTTGCACCACAAACGATCTCTCTGCTCTCTAGGGTTTCTCAGGGGTGAAGTGGCCACAAATGGAGGCCATAAAGGCCTTTAAATAGGGCACAGACCCCGAGAATTAGGGTTTTAATTTACAGCGTGGACTCGTCGAGTCCACCCTTTCCGACTCGTCGAGTCCGTTCATTAATCCAGTCAGCAATCGTGGTCCTACTCGACGAGTCTACGCCTCAACTCGTCGAGTCCCTCTCTTTTACTCATAAATAAATGATCAAACATAATACCTGGAAATTCAGATGTTACATCTTGAGAACTCTTGATCTAGGATTTCTTTCTTTTTGCTTGTCTGTTTGTGGCTCTAGGGTAGGATCATCTGTTCGACTGTCTATCTCACCTCTGATTACATATATCTATGCAGTCATTAGTGCTTTTCTAGTTATGGAGTAGTGTTTTATGAGACACTGTATATGGCAGTGTTTGGTTATATAAGTAGACTAGTGTAGATAGTTGGATGTACTTATGTTTTGTTTGATTTCTTTTTTGATATATATATGTCGACATATCGGGTGGTGTAACACCCCTGTTTCAAGGCTACACATTGATACAGTGATGTAATAGTTAGGGTCAACAAATGTAACTTATCTTGAAGTAATAAAGAAGAATTACTTGAATGTTATGTGAATTCTGTGAATTTAGGGTTAATGCCACTGTACCACAATAAACTTATGTGTTTTGTCCGACTTGGCCAATTATGTTTTTTTTTCTTGCGCAATAAGTCATCTAACTTTTACTGTACATGTCAATTAATCCATTATCGTTAGTTTTTAACCATTCATCCGTTAACCAGTTATCTAAATTACACGAATGGCCCCTATGATTTAAATTTCTTTCGTGGTGGGTCCCTTACCAACTATGATTTTAAATTACACGACCAAAATTGCCACATTTATGAAACTCTGGGGACCAAAGTGTAACATTCTCATCATCTTCCTCTGATCCTTCTATTATGTAGTTCATGAATATCTTCAGTGGTCAAGGTTTGGAATATCTAGTTGTAGGAGTGGTGCTAGTATAAATTTGTAACCCAATGGTACAACTA